AGGCGATTGGTTCTTATTCCTCGATTATGTGTTAATGAGTTCCAAAGAATTTATCATGGTTATGACCACGGTCGGAGCTGATGTTTTCTACAGGTATAGAGACTATATTGCATGTTGTGGTGTCTTCCTGGATTGAGTTAAATGAAAGATTCCCGGTTGATGAGGTGTTCAATTTGCTTATGGTTTAGTGTTGACTATGAGATTTTCGTAGTATTGCGAGTAGCATGTTATAGGCGATGCGCCATGAGGGGTTGAAATTTGCAGGTGTAAGGTTGCAAATAGTTTCGGAGGGAAGGATATGAGTTCTCGATGGCACCAACGATTTCGGGTGTTTAAGGTTTTGCTGGCATTATGTGTTCTTATCAGAGTAGAGTTCGCTTGTTGGCAGGTGCCATGTGTTTTGGTTTACGGGTGTTTCTCCGTGAGTTGATGGAGTATGAATTACGCGTCAACTATTTGAGTAGTAGTGTTGATATTGGGTGTGAAAATTCTAGTATTCATGAGGCTCAGAGGTTGAATGTTCTTGTTGGCGGACTATCCCTTGATTGCGAGTTATGAAGGAATGAATAAGATTGGTTGATTAATAGTAGGTGTTATAGAATGGTTGCAACAGAATTTTGGAAGGTTTACTACATGTTAGAGGAAAATCGAAATTTGGTTTGGGGATTATTTTGAGCCTAATGAGAGTGTGTACTTTGTATCGGATCAGACCTATTTGTTTTGCGCAGTTGTTACCATGTGTATATCATCAGATGGAATGGATGTCATTCGTGCCTTGGTTTATGTCGTGTGTTTCTCTCTCATACTATGATGTGTTCTGAGGTTTACATGATTCTTCGCACGTATATTATGATTCAGTTTAGACTTCATGGAGATATGGGCGAGGTGGCCTTTGTGATGTTGATTTGCATATTGCACCATAGTTTTGCTTGTCCTTCTCAGTATTGTTTGTTCCTAATGATTTTCCCCATAGTTATATTTTTATGCACTCTATTGTGCTTGATGCTGATGCACATGTGATTAGTGAGCCGAGTATTATGGCTCGAAGGGTAACCTATGTGGATTGATATGATGGGATAGGGTTGCACGCCGCAACGGTAACGTGATGAAAAAATGACTCCTTATTTCTATTTGGTGTATTTTGCTTTCACTTTGTTGAGGATAGTTCATAGTAAAATGTTAAAATTTCCTTGCCTGCTTAACTTGCTTAGTAGTTTTCTTATTTATTTCTCTTACTGTTATTTGTTTTGTCTGAATTATTACTTGTTAGTATTCGGAACCGGGTTGTGTGTTGCTCCATATGTTTATTGTTGATACTTGTCGGTGTGACTGCTTGTATTGGCTAAGATGAGGTTTCTAGACCTGAGGTTTGCGCTGTTGTATTGGGACAAGGAAGGTTTGGAAGAATAACACTATGATTTGTTGAGGATTTGGACAATGGCCCTGGTCGGGCAAGCGAATTTCTTGGCTTATTAATCAAATGAGTGGTTAAGCGGTTATGCATTTTTCTTTCGTCAGCAGTAGGGGTATGAGGGTTTTGAACGAGGTTCTAATTAGTATGAGGTTTTCTACCGGCACCGGACTCGTGTTTGGGCAGTATTAGTGGTCATCAGTTCTTGTGGTAAGTGTCTAAGTGATAGGGTATATCATGTGATTACATCTTGTGTTATGATTGAGACTTGATACGGCTTGTTCAGACTTATACAGTGTGTGGCTGTGGGATTCGGGTCTTGCAATGAATTCTGAGTAGTAGAGATGGAGTTCTAAGATTTTAGGACCAAAGTTGAAATAAGGATCTCTAATGGTGTTGTGTTGGCGGGCTTATGTGGAGCAGGGTGACTTGGGATCACCCTCGGGTTTAAGCTTAGTAAGGTTACACCGCGATTGGATGGCTTTGGAATGACTCCTACACGTTCAAGGACGAACGTGAGTTTAAGTGGTGGAGGATGTGATGACCCGACTGGTCGTTTTGAGTATCTGCACTTCGCTTGGCATTTAAAAGGGCTCGAGTATCTCCACATGATGTATTATGACTTGCATAAATCGTCGGTATTGGTTTTCAAATTATCCGAAAGCAATTTGGAAGAATGAACTTCAAGATTTAAGTTCTAAGTTGGAAGAGTTGATCAAGTTTGACTTTTTAGCATTTGACCTCGGAATGGAGTTTCGTCAGTTCCGTTAGCTTCGTTGGGTATTTTGGACTTAGGAGCATGTCCGGATTGTGATTTGAAGGTTTGTAGTTGAATTTGACTCGCAATGGCGAAAGTTGGATTTTTGGGAAGTTTGACCGGGAGTGGACTTTTTGATATTGGGATCGGATTCTGATTTCGGAAGTTTTAATAGGTCCATAATGTCAAATGTGACTTGTGTGCGAATTTTGAGGTCAATCGGAGGTGATTTGATAGGTTTTGGCATCGATTGTGGAAGTTGAAGATTAAAAGTTCATTGATTTCGACTTAAGGTGTGATTCATCGTTTCGAGGTTGCCATGTGTGATTTGAAGCTCTGAGTAGGTTCGTCTTGTCATATGGAACTTGTCTGCAAAGTTTGGCGCTATTCGGAGTTGATTTGGTAGGGTTCGGATGCTCGGTTGTGATTCTAGAAGTTCTTGAAGTTTAAGTTTGATTTTCATGCATTTTGGCATCCGATTCCTGGTTTTAGAAGTTATTTTGATGATTTGAGCGCACGAGCGAGTTCGTGTTATGTTTTTAGACTTGTGTGTATATTTGGTTTGGAGCCCCGAGGGCTCGGGGTGAGTTTTGGATTGGTTTCGAAATGATTATTCATAGTTTTTGATAGTTGGTACTGGTATCATCGCATTTGCGATGTATTGGTCGCAAATGCGATAGCCGCAATTGCGAAGCAGCCATCGCATTTGTGAAGTCTGGGCTGCTGGGCAGAGTTCGCATTTGCGAAGGACTCCGCCACATTTGCGAAACTCCTTCCTTCGTATTTGCGATGATTTTGTCGCAAATTTGACCTTAGCAGGAATCTGTCATGTTCACAATTGCGATAGTTTTCCCGCATTTGCGAACCCCCTATCTCAAATGCGACATCTGTAGCCTGTTAAGTGTTGAGAATTCCCGGCTTTTGCTTCATTCTTCATATTTTTGAACCCTAGCTTCGAGGTGAGGCGATTTTGAGAGGAGATTTTCATGCCAAATCATTGGGTAAGTATCTTTAATCAATTTTCAATTAAATTTTATGATTTTATACAAGATTTAGCATCAAATTCATGGGAAAACTATGGAAAAATTTGGAGATTTTGTCTAAGTTTTGAAAAATAAAAATTTGAGATTTAAGAGTCGAATAAGATTCGGATTTGAAAACAAAATACATATTTGGACTCGTGGGGCTATGGTTAGTCAAGACCTACCTTTGGACCCGGGTTTTGACCGAGCGGGCCCGGGGTTTGACTTTTGTTAACTTTTTAGAAATTGAATGAAAATCATAGCTTAACTTGCGAATGTCGTGTCTACTTCCTGCTTTTATAATTATACTCATGTTATATCTATTCTATTGCGCTTTAGTCTAAGTCTTTCACCATGCTAGTCATTCATGCCCTTACTTGTTAACTTGCGAAGATCATGTGAGTCCGTCTTAATTGTTATAATTGTACTTAGGCCTCCAATATGCTAGTCAATTGAAGTTGATATTCCTTGCTTTCCAGTTGTTGTTATTACTCATGTGCCCTCCGTTTAGTTCTTTATTTGTTGCCCACACGTATATCCTTGTCCACTGTTGTTACTTGCGTATTCTCTACTTTGTAATTTATGTTATTTTGTTTCTGTCATATGGTTGGTTCTATTGTACGTTTATTTGGAAGAATGAGTTGAACGCACGAAGGGTATTGCCGTGCTAGTTGAATTGTTACATAAAACTTATTTATACATGGTGAGGATGAGATAGAAGCACGAAGGGTGTTACCGTGCCACGTGACTTGATATTTTGGATATACTTCTCGTACCAGGAAATATCGTACATCTTCTACTATGGTTCCTTTTTGTAATTGTGGATTGTTTCGCCGAGTTGTATGTGATATTCTTATCTGTTATGCTTTGAACTGCTTTTACTGTTAAACTAATGTACAAGTTATAATAATAAGCATCTTTTAACTCAAAACTCCATCACTACTTCGACGAGGTTAGACAAAATATTTACCAGTACATGGGGTAGGTTGTACTGATACTGCACTTCTGCACGTCCCGTGCAGATTTTGGAGCGGAGCTGCTGCTGATGTCGGGTGCTGATTTAGAAGATGTTCGTGTGTTTGGATATAGCTGCCACTTGTCCTTGGTAGTTTAGATTATTGTTAATCTGTTTATGTAACCTCCAAACAGAACGTGTATTTATTTGTATCAGTTTTAAAATTTCAAATCTTAGGAGCTCATGACTTGTACTACCAGTTTTTGGGTAAATTTGTAAAAGTTCAAATAAATTCTAACTTCCTTTTTCTATAAGTTATTTGGCTTGTTTCTTTTGGTTAATTGGCTTACATAGCAGGTCAAGTTAGGTGACATCACGACCAGTGGTTTTTGAATTGTGACAAAATAAGTGGGAGAAATAACATCAAAGTAGATGGAAAAGCTGATAAAGTAGTTCTTGGAAAAAGTTTAAATAAACAATAACAACACCTACGAAGATTTTTAGTATGAAATTGGAAAATTTGAAAAGAGATGGAAAGGAGAAGGGAAAAATTTATCAACCTAGTTGAGTAGATGTATCAAACTTACAGAAATCTTTCAAAATTATGTTGTTAAAGGGGAGTAAAGGAGATGAAAGTGAGTGGGAGCAAAGGGATGAAAGTGACGGAAAATTCTAGGGTGTTGGAAATGAAAATGACAGTTTTAGAATAGTGTAGATATGTATGTATAAAATAAGAAAAAAAAATAACAGAGTATAATGGCAAGTATACATTTGGTCGACCAACTTCTCATTTCTATATAATAGAAAAAATTAGCTTAGGACCAAAAATTTCCCTTTTTTACAAACATGAAGGATAGCTTATGTTCAGTGTCATACATTAATGGCCAAAATGCATTTTGCCCAATACATTAGGGACTATTTTTTTTCTTTTAATTTTAAAATTTAATTTATGAATGCAATCAACTGGTTGCCGTAGCCGATCGGTTATTACCCCTTTGAAACTTGGGAATGAGGATCCGACCCAACGACCCGAAGCCCACTTCTCTCCCAAATGTTTCTTTTTTCTTTTTTCAGTTTAATACTTTTCCTTCTCGTTTTTATTTTCCTGCTTCGGTAATTTGGAAAGATTTGAACGCTTGAATGGGAGCACTGCAACTTTGGAACAAAGTGAGCATCCGATTTTGCCCCTCTCGCGGCACAGAGACACTAATTGAAACTGAAGGTTGTGAAAAAATCTAATCTTTTGTTCTTTCTATTTGTATTTCAATTTTATACTATTGCAATTTGAATCAATTGACAAACTGGGGAAATGAACTTGAGTAGCTTCAATTTTTATATTAGGCTATCGTTAAATTCATTTCAAATTAATTTTTCCAGAATATCTCTGCGTGTATCTGTCTGCATGTGCGTATACATTTTGAAATTGAAACAGTAAAGCATTTAAGTAATTAGTTCTTCAGCGTTTTACAGAAGCAGCTTATGGTATGGATTTTGTGTAGCGACAACTGAGATGTGTCTTACTATTTCTATCTGAGTTCTTATGTTATTTATATTGCTAAACATGAAATGATCCAGCTTTATTTACTTTCATACTCTTCCAAGCTAAATGTTCATATACTCATGTTCCTTTCTTTTGTTGTCCCAATTAATTTTTGCCTTCCCGAGAGGGGTTTGAGAACTTTTTATGACGGTAGCTTCCGGTTCAACTTGCATGTACCTCGACTATTCCACCCGATACCTGCTATCTCCCACCAGTATAGGTACCGAGTAACTCTGCCCATCGAGGCTTGGTCAAGTGGGAAGATATCACCTAGTATTTTTCGCTTCAGCTAGGATTTGAACCCATGACCTCATGGTTTTCCTCCCACTTCACTGACCAGGCCACTACCTTGGGTGCTTGAGAACATATTATTTTGAACTTTTTTCCGTTTGAATGTTATCTTTTTCTTTGTTCAATATGTACTTGAATGTTTTTTGCATATAACTATAATGGATAATCCATTGCAATCTGGCTTGACTTAGACAAGCAGAGTAGGATCTTATGCTATGGTGAGGGGTGACCGGCATTTCTATCTAGTATCTAGTGCTACGACTAGTATGTTAGAGACAGTCACAATTTATTTCTACATCTACCCTAATAATATTCCTTGATTTAATATTAAAAAGATGTATCCAGTTCTGATTTTCAGTGGTCATACTAAATTAAAGCACGAACTTCAGTTTTGAGAAGAAAGGACTAGTGGAGAAGTATGATTTAATCAACATAATGTCATTTTCTAATGCTTCTTTCTTTCTTTCCCTAAAGCTCATAATTCACTGATTACAAGGTTGATGCAACTTATAGAGGTGAGTATTTACTATTTATCGAGTGAAAGGAAGCTATTGAAAAAGTAGCACCGGTAGGACGAGGAGGAAATCTTCGACCCAAGAAGTTGTAGAATTATGTATTGTATCATTGCTTTGATTTTAACCTATTGGCCAGCTCGAATTGTTAGGTTTGAGTTTTCTAGTAAATACTCACTGACTTACACAATTTTATGTTACCAGTTTCAGATTTTGAATAGGCTTTGTTGGGGGAGCTGGCATCTAAAGTCTAAAGAAATCAAGAGTAAGTGTTTATATCCTATTTTCGCTTGCTCAAGGAATTCTTTGATTAAGTTTACCTGTTATGTTTGCCTTTCCTCAACGAAGCCCCCATGTATTTTGGCCTTGTTTGAGGCCTTTAGATTAAGTTTTATTATTATCCATTTGAAAAAAATTACGAATGGATGTCATTTGGATATTAAGTTAATGGGTGCGAGCATCTAATATAATTGTTACTTTTGTCAGTTATGAACTCATCGCACTGTCATCCTCTATCTCATGTCAAACAGCTTCATGAGCAAAGTATGAGGTAGCTGGGAATTGATGTAGCGAATTTATGGTCTCTGAAGCACTGCAACAGTCTTTCATGGCTACCAAACGTTCCTGTACATCATCTCTACCCTGGATTTGGGTGATTGAAGCACTAGCAAGCTTCAATGAAATAGATACATCTTTACTCATCAGTATGTGTGAATTTACAATTGCTTTATTTTGTGGAAGCCGTTGTTAAATTGTGGGCATCAGAATTTTTTGACACTAATAGTTCATGCATAACAGATTTGGTTAAGAGGACTCCTGACATTTCCGATCTGGGGAGAAATGCTAAGGAAATGGTTTCCTTGAGAGTTTTAGAGAGCTTATTTGTCCAAAGAAACCCGAATGCAAATAATGTTGCTTCAGTTCCAGGTGCCGAAATTGAACTTGATCCATCAAAGAGCTGTGAAGATGTCCTTCACCGAATATTGTTGGAGGTAATGAATTCTGTCTTTTACTTATCTATGGTGGACTATTGATTCAGTTATTTGAAAGATCTAAGCAAGGGACCCATTTACAAGGGAAATGGTCTCCTTAAGCGTTTTAAGTTCTCCTGATTTACACATGCTTAGTTGTGTATTTGCATGTAAATATTACTAGATTTCTGCATCAGATATAAAAACAGCAGCGCCTGAGATGTTGAAATGGGATGTTCGGTCATTCATTATGAAAAAGAGATCTCTCCTGCCGAAGTGTCTTTTGAAACAAGTAAGCTAGTTTTAATAATGTTTTGAATTTGAGAAGTTGGAACATATTGAAAATTCTCTGTCTTATTATCTGGAATTTACTTTATTTTCTGTTGATAAACAGCTTAAAGATAACATTGTAGATTCTACCAGTCCTCTTTCTGGATCCTTGAAAGAAAGAAGTCGATTGGAGTTCGGGAATCACTCCAGAGATAGTGATCCTGTTGATGCTGTTGATTCTGATGGCTTTAAGCAGGGACATGAAGTAGGAGGCACAAATACCCAACATGTTGCACCAACTAGGAACTCGGATGCTTTTACCCAGGCCGATAAAAATACAACATACCCAGTATATTCCCACAGTGTGGGGTCTGGGAAGGGTAGTATGTACGCTGACCTTACCGATAAAAATGGCAAGACAAAAAGTCAGCTTGGAAGAGCTCTGGTGCGTGCTAAGCGGAGTATCGATGCCTCCACTGCTCATGAAGTAGAAGTCAATGAAACTGAAGCCATATCAGAGAACAGTTCTGATCCTTGTGCTAAGGCTGCCAAGAAGTTGAAGCAGTTTGTCTTTAGTCCCATTCGAAACACAGTTCCTGATTTGCTATTGTCTGGGAGAGATGCATTCCCAGCAGAATCATCTGGAGGAAGTCAACCTATTGTTCAAAATGGGAACTCGAAAGATGAAGCTCAAGTTGGGGCCTTCGAAGCAAATGGAGGCCTGAACGATGGTTGTGCTGAGCATGCTGCATCAAGAAGTGGTTTACATGGAAGTGACTCTAATCACAATGAGTTCTTGCCTCAAAGAATGAGCACAGACAACAAGTTCCAAAATATTGGACGTAGCAGCAATGGTTGTACTGAACTTGGAACATCCAGTGGCTCTGGCTCATGCCAGGTGGTGATGCAACAAGATTCTCGCACTCATGGATCCAAACATGACCTGGAGTTTAATCTTCCACAAGATTTGCAACATGGTGAGCCTTCAAAAGTAGCCAAAGAGAATATTGAGCAAAGTCATGAATTTGAGTTCTCTAATGATACTGATGAGTATCACGATGAGAGCACTGCTCTTGCTTCACGGAAGAATGATTTCTTGAGCTCGCAATATGCTCAGGGTGAAGATTTTTTGGCAGCTGCTGATTGTAATGAGCTTAATCTTTGTGTGAAGTGTAATGTAGGGGGGAAATTATTTGTCTGTAGTTCTGACACCTGCCCATTAATGCTTCATGAAAGTTGCTTGGGTTCTGTACCCAACTTTGATTACAAAGGGAACTTCTACTGCCCCTTTTGTGCATATTCTCGAGCAATTTCTGAATACCTGGACGGTAAGAAGAAGGTCTCACTTGCTAGGAAACATTTGGCTGCATTTATTGGCTTGGGAGCTGGACAACAATCAAAGAAGTTGCTACCTAAATCACAAGGAATGAAGCCGCATCAATCTCGAGAGGATAAGAATGAGCAATTATGCCACAATGAGAATGGGAGGAGTTCCTTGAATGAGGTTACAGAAGCAGGAAGTGCTCCAGTCGACAGGAATTCCGTTGGAGTTCAAATCATGCAGACGGGTTCACCTCAACCAGAGGCTTCTGCACCTGAACAATGCTTGGTAGCTGGTCAACAACCTGAAGGATCAGAACTTGGATGTCATAGATCTAAGCAGAATCAGTCCAGAGAGGAAGAAGAGTTGTGTCATAATGGGAATGGAAACAAGAATTCTTTGAAGAAGGCTGATGAAGCGGGAAGTGGTCCTGTTAATATAAATTCTACGAATGCTGAACTCATGCAGATGTATCCACCTCAACCACCTGTTTCTCATGAACCTGTGTGTCAAGGAAGTTCTTCTATAGAAGAAAATTCTGAAGAAGATGATATTGGTTCCAGATATCGTGTACAATTTAGGAATCCAGAGAAGAAGCAGTAAGTCTGATGCACTTCCCAAAGAATGCAAATCATATGGTCACTCCACGCTTTCTTTCAAATGTGCCATGCATTTTACGTATATTTTCCAGTTTCTGCATTTTTGGTTTTCCTATCTCTTTTTGCATTGAATCAAAGCATTTTGTTAATCATTATTATCAGGCAGTTGATTGTGTTTTGGTTATAACTTCTATCTCTGATTTTTTGCTGTTCATTTTTATTTGCAGTACCTTTCCCATAACACCTCAATTGAGGAGGAGGAAGGTCCAATGGACAAAGATAGAGGAGGAAACGTTAAAGGTAGACGCATCTTCTTTCTGTCTAAATTTTGCTTGTTTTCTGCTCATGCTAGTTTTCTCGTTGAAAAACTGGTAAGAAGGCACCCCAGTTATTTTCTAATATAAGGGGGATTCACCCCCCACCCCCACCCTCTCTCTCTCTCTCTCTGGACTCTGTGTGTGTGTAGTCAGTACTTTTCCCTTGGCTATCTTCTGGTACTAGTCTTTGCCATTGCTGCTGCAGGAGGGAGTACAACGATTCTCGCATTTTCCTGATAGATGGAAGCAGATTTTGGAATTTGGATGTGATGTTTTCCTGAAAGGTCGGACCACTGGGGACCTTAAAGATAAGTGGAGGAACATGAGCAGAGCAAAGGAGAGAGCAACGTAAAGGTTTCTTTCTTAAATGGACTCTGTATATGTGTACAGTTGTCTAATATTTTCGGCTACTTATATTGAACAGCGGACGTTTTTCATAGCTCTGTTATTGCTTAGCTACAGCCATGCCACAACAATGCTTGCTAATTAACCTCATTATCTA